TGTTTGTTGTCATTTAGTCACAATCAGAAGATGAAAACAAGTATGTCAATAATAGTCCCGCTACCTTAAGGTAGCGAGACTATTATGTGTGTTGAAAATTACGATTTTCACATTTATTTATTAATTGATGAAATGCACTATAAACTTTCATCTGATAAAGTCAACATAACCTAGAATGTCATGTAAGTTGGTTAAAATGTAGATTTTCTGAAGGGAAGCAAGGCAGCTTCAGTAGTGATTTCCAAAATCAACAACACAGGTTTAATCTGTGTGTCTATAAGTTTCAAAGATTAACTCAAGACAAAGCAATGTTAGGATGTATTATCAGTAGCTATCTGACACACAATGAGTGTTTCCAAACATTCGAGTGGTTTGTCTCCGCCCCTGTTTATTTCACAGATTAGTCATTTGCATATAAATGTGTCAGACACAAGGTCACACAGCCACTGAAAAAATCATTGATTTTGGTGTTTTCATCTGCCGATTTTATCGAATTATAGCTATCCCATTCCTTTATTTGTTGGTTTCCAATAGCCTTACACATTTGGATGCCCCTACACATGTTAAAACAGACCTTGATGGGAAAACAAATCAATCGTGCCGATAAACAAGCTTGAAAATCTTTGCTGTGACTTCATGGACGTTTTTTAGGAGTTTATTTTTTTCAAAATACAAGGTCTTAACAAAAAATAACGAATACTTATTGTCGTCGGATTGACAACAAATTTTCACAGCTTTAAGGTGACAATGAGAGGAACTTAAATGTGTCCAGACAAACTATTTCATGGACTATTTACTAATGTGTTGTGGTTTGAGTTGGGGGCAATGCGACTAAACAGTAATTAAAATTCAGGACACTACTTTTCAAAACTCGTTGCTTGAATAAAACTGACCAGACACATTCAATTTACCAGACTATTAAACAACTAGGAAAAGTGGAAAAAAAACTTCTTATCACCAGCATAAATGCGTAATTATGTTTTTTCCAAAAAAAGTAATTTTTCACTTTTGATTAAGTAACGCATCCTAGAATGCAGATACGGGCATGGCAAACACACCTTTGAACAGCTTGAAGTCTGGTGATTCCAAAAATATATACTTTCTAGGGGGTATTTGTAGTCATTTGGTCACAATTTGAAGATGAAAACAAGTATGCAAATAATAGTCCCGCTACCTTAATCACACTGGGTCTGGGATTACCTCGCCCGTATTTATGTATGTACGTTGTAAATTTGGGGTTAGCATCCATGAATAATACCACTTTCATTGAAAATTCGGTACATGTATGAGGATGGGGTTGATATAATAATAACCTAATTTTCGAAAAAATAGACGATTCGCGCCGGGTATCTCAATTACCGTTTATCATATTTAAATTTGGTACATCTAAGTTATCTAGGACTGCAAACTACAGATATACACACAAATTTGTTTTTTATTAGTATTATAAACTTCAATACTTCAAAGCCGGCGTAATTTCACGACTGACATTTAAAGCTCGTTGCAACCAAAATGCTCATCACTACTATGCAATTGTAATCTGATAATAACCTCACTGAGTCAAGTGATTTAAACGATGATAACTATTTTAATTATTACTGTTTGTTTTAATACGTATATTATTGGTATACAGGCGCGAAATGAAGCAAGTTTCTTATGGCAGACCATATCTGCGTTTCCAATTGTGTACACATTTTTGATTGTAATTGTATGATAAATGATCGATAGAAACCCCAAATAGTTAGCTGATGAAACGCCCTCTATGGGTGGCGCATTAAGATGCCCTCCAGATCGACTGATTTGTTTGTGTTTTAATAACCATGCAATTAGTTTAATCGGTATAAATCGTTTAATTAACTTAGTTTATCACCATTCGAAAAATTCTCTGAAACCACCAGTTATGTGTTTAAGATTAATTGGATTATTTTTGATAAATTTAAATAGATTGGTATCATCAAAGCAAAGATCATAAAGTCAAATGCGTTTGTTGAGTTAACTATATATATATATGATTGGGTCTGGAATTGGTCATTGTGGGATACCACATTTGATTTCTGTAAAGGTGAATTGAATGTTATTGATATGGTCACTTTGCTTACGATTAGAATGGTAGCTTTTAACAACTATAGAGGGAGCCCTCGGATGTCATAGTGTTCTAATTTATGAAGAAGTATTTGATGGTCTCAGGGCTTTTCTGAAATCAATAAAAATACTAAAAGTAAGAAATCCATGGCCCAGAGACCAGGTCAGCCAGAGCAATCTTGGTACTATTTGTTTGCGGAATCCGAATTGTGTTTTTGATAAAATGTTGTTTTTATCCAATTAATGAATTGCTTGTTAATAATTGATTGAATGTTTTTTTCTCAAAAAAAGGAAGATGGAAATTTTCTTTCAAGGTAGTTATTTGTCTTCCTTTCTGTATATTGGAATGATGTTAGCATTTTTAATTTAATGAATCACAGTAAATGCCTTGCTCAGCGAACAATTGATAATGTGGGCAAGGGGCGGGCGGTGATGTTTGCAGAGTTTTTTTAACAAGTTTCGGGTGCATGTGGTCAATTTCGATGGATTTCTTGGGTCCAACCTTTAATTGGTGTTTTAAATATTAGCCACAATTACGTTACTTTACACGCACAGCAACCACGGTGGGATTTGGTGAAAATGTATCAAAACTGGTGACATCGATTATGGAAACTAGTGATACCATAGTTAAATAACGGGTTATCCGACGCGTACACATCAAACCGAAGTGTTTGTTGTTAAACTCAGAGGCCCACTATCAAAGATTAGACATTTTGATTTATGTAAATTAACCTCAGTTCAGCGATATGCGAGTTGTAAAGCGTCTGATTGCTCACAGACCTTCTATCTATAGAGGGACTATGGATTGCTGAATCTTTCAGTTCGTGGTGTGCGTCGGCAATCGCAATACGTTATTGTGTGTTTATATATGTAAACACCACATTTTTAGTCTACATTGTATAACCATCATTAACACTCATAATATTTTAGGGTGGCTGACTTGGCGTATGCCTACTTCGCAGAACATCTACTTGTTTCTCATTACAAGTCCCACTCTCTACTGACGCGTTGGTATCTGTGACAGATCGCAGACATCAGCCTTTATTTGTTATCCCTGGTTTTTCCCCACTACAGTCATGTGTGATATTATAATCGTTCTTCAGAATAATGTTTAAAATCCAACACTGGCCGTCTCACCTAAAGTTATTCCAACGGTTCATGTTTTATGCATTCTTCCATAACTGACAAAATACACTTTCAAAACGTACGCGAACCTAACATTCGACCGTTCTGTGCGACTCGGAGTAAGACACATTCATAATGTCACATTTAGGTGTTTTACACTATCACTCACCTAATATGATCTTCATGACCAGGACACTGAACTATGGACAACGGTGTGACACATTCCAAGATGCAGCGACAAAGCAAGCAACTGAATAAAAACAGATGTTTTGATAGTCTACAAACCATACAATTTGTCACTACACATTCTTATGTACGTATGTAATTCATTTCAGAATCAAAGGTCACCAGCCAAAATACACCATAAATGTTTAAAATAAACCAATACATATACGAATAAACGAGGACAATACAGAGCATTTGAACACAGATATTTAGGCCTCGAGTCAAAGATCCTAATTTAAAGCGGGGGAGTCGTCACCTCCGCATGCGTCAGTTGATCATAGCGTATCATTGTTTACAAACAAACGTATACCCATGAGCCTTTGCGTGTTTAGCGTGTGTTGTTATTATCGCTAGGAACTGAATTCCCGCGCGTGCGCAGGTGACGACCCTCCCGCTTTAATAACAAAGAAATTAAATGTTTCAAGATTGTTCACTGTTGCTTGTTTTCTGAAGGAAAGAAGCTTACTAAATGTATGCATAACAGAAGGGTTAACGTAATATCGTGTGATGTGTCTAACTATTAATAAATTGGGCATTCAAGCAAAAAGTGACAATGTTCACAATAATATAATAAATAGTAGTAATACGTTGTTTGAACAAAATTACTTTCTGAAACGTTTGATATATTAAGAATATATACAGGCTGTTTGGAATTGACATTACGGCGCTCGGATGAAAGCAAGTATGTTAGCCTACACAGTTTTAATGTGCCAACTATTCACACAGTATTAGCTCAACCTGCATATAGTGGCCCACACCAGCAATATGAGACTATTTAAGCCGTGTATCGCCTGGTGTCCATTTTGCATTGTTTGACAAGAGTATGTATCGTGATTAGTAAGGATGTACCTTTATTTAGGGTTCAGGCAATTTCGTATAATTAAAGGCGTCTGCCTGTTTGTTTTCTTGATAATATCAGCCATTCTCGTCATTATGCGGTGTTCTCGAGGCGTAACTACGAGATTACTATAATGTATACAAAGACAGATAAATGCGCAATGCAACTGTGTAGTCGTTGCGGTATTCTAGTTTAATAACCATAATTATAATACAATGAGTATATTTGAAGCGTTAAGATATTCAGACATTCCACGCTACGTTATTAGTGGTTTGCTGTCACTGTTACGAAGGCCGCTGAGCCTGGAGTACATATGAACTGTTGGCGAGCGTCCATGTCGCATATTTTCATTAACACGTTCGGAATGCCATGGCGCGGAGTCTTCAAATACCTAATAAAATAACTTATATACATTAAATAACGTAACGCGATTGTGTGGACGAAATCTATGGGTTAGGGCATACGATGTCCAATCATAATAATGAATAAACACGATCATTATATACACATGCATGTACTCCGCATTTTAATAATTCCACTACAATATAAGACTCGTTCCAAATAATCAAGGTCAAGTAACCAGTGTCAGCGTAATGTGTTCCAGGTTATCTTTGAAGTTCAAGCTCATTAGGTGTACGGTCAAACAAGTGGACGCCTGCTGGGAAAACCCGCCTTGTATTACATTCCCTAATTACACACAATGATAAACAACTCAGTCCGTGCCCAGCCGCTCAATTGAATTCACCGCTCACTTCTACACTCTCAGGTCAAGCTATGGCTTTGTACAGTGCTTCCGTTGTGCAACTTTTTGCGATATGTTTTATAATGAAACATGACACAGGTAAGCAAGTGATTTTATTACTATGACATTATAGAGTACCAAGCAATGTTTTGCATGCTAATTATTGCTTGTGTGAGCGTTTCAAGTGTTACTATTATCACTATGTAAGGAAAGAGAACACGGCTGCAATGTAACTGGTTCCTATAAAAATAATGCTACAATTGAAATCAAAACTATTAAATATTGGAGCGGCAACCGCGCTGTATAGTAGATTTCTGCCTCACTTGTGTCTGTCAGCAGCGGCAAACAGATGCACGAATTTACAATAATTTTTGTTTTAATAACATTCAGTTAAAGTGTAAGTCTAAGTTTCGAATGCTTGTGCAATTTGTCAATACTCATATTGGATAATACAACAATTTCGTGACTTTTACATTGTGTCAAAATTGTGTTTCATAACTGTTATGAATGTGTAGAAAATAGCGACGGGTACAATGACTCGTAGAAGACAACGCATCGCTCCCGTTACTGCAGTGAACTATAATGAATCCAAACATAGGTGTTAATCCCGTTGCATTAGTTTATTGCAAATCCGTATGCGAATGCATTCTTCTAATGTGTTTATTTGTAATCATGGCCCATTCAAATTTTCAATATTCAAATCTTTCAAGCCAGTGAATACACATATGAGCTTATGAGCATGAACATACAGACGTGCAGCAATAGAACGCAGCTTATACTGTTTCAAACTGTGCCTAAATCAGTTTGCAATATACATGATTATTTGAAATGTTCTTGTCAATAAAAGCATATTGCCTTTTACAATCGGTATAATAAACCCAATCAGAAAATGTGCGTGTCTGGTGATTAGGACGTGGAAATAGTTGGAAGACTGTTCATGTCATAGATAATTAGCTCTTATATATATCATTATATTTGAACACATAGCGGGGTTTTCAGTTATCTGGCTCAAAACACAAACACACCCCGGGAGGAAAACCGGTATGTCAAATACGTCAACTTGACATGGCCTTGGCAAAATATTGATATGATATGAATCTTGAGTTGAGTGAGTACTACAGTGTGATTATACATCGACAGTAAAACGATTAACATAATAATATAACAATTAATATAACAATACAATAACTACTCTTAATGTTAGACTGACCCAGCCTTGGTAATTTTTCATAACATTTCTTTTAAATCTTCGTCCTACACGAAATTACCACGACTGGTCTATTCTGATGCGCATTCGTTGCTAAAAAATATCACAATATACACTCAGGGACCTTATGGAACCCGGGAGTGGAACAAAAACAAAGAAAACTATACGTGGGTTTGCGCAAAGAATTGTACACATCAGAGTCACGCGCCATATATGCAATGAATTTGATGAAACAGTTTTATACTGTAGTTTATGACTTGATACAATTCATGTTATACAACATTATATATACGATTAGTTATATGTGATAGTTGACACTGTTCTCTGGTGATCTTTTATATGTAAATATGTATCGGTCGTAACATCTATTACATACATACAATTTACAAGTATATTATTCCTAGGACAACATTATAATTATGTTTTAATTATATTTACGTGAGTTCATTCATTATATAGCATCACTTTACGGACACTCAATTTGGACATATGCGTTGTATAAAAAATGGCAAATATTAGGGTGTGCATATTGTACAATTTAACGCGGGCGTGTGTTTTTTTTGTTCAACAATATTTTTGGATATGTGACTAAATGCTACAATGCTAATCCAGCACCTCTTTTATTTACCACTCTGATAAAACATATTCACAAAGACTTAATGCATGGTGTCATTTGGCTAATGCGTGTGTGCGCAGAAAAACAATTTTAACACAAATTTGAACTTTGACATTTAGTACCAATATACACTAATTAACATATATTAAAAATGCGTTACTTGCATAGTTTTGTGATTACTTGGTATTGGGCGAATTTATCTATTAAATACCAAGAAGTATTCGCGCTGGAAAATCTGAATACTATTCTCTAAATCCATGTCTAAATCTAATGAGTACATAATCATATATGCCGGCTGTATCGCTAATACTGATCAAAGGTTGATCACTGATGACACATTACGTCACGTTATGTAACGGAATCCAATGCAAGAGGAAGAAATTCAAAATGAATATCATAAAAACCGACTCCATGTGGATAGTGTGGTATGATCAGTTTTTAGGATTAAACATAGGATTAAATCAGAAATTTACATCCATTTAATATTCGCTACACTACTGAAAGTTTTATAGAATCTTGAATAGGCGAAATTATTGTTAAACAACTTCATTATTCTACGTAAGGAAATGCAGCATATGGGACGAGTATCTGTAAAACTGACACTGTATTATCGGTGCTATAAGCTTATGCATAACATCACGTGCACCAACATATTCGATATTATATTATCTTGCACACAATTGCAGGCAAGTTCTTCGAAATTCGGAATGAGATCATTATTTATATTACCAGGGGTAATTGTATTTATACTATGCACGAATTGAACGCTGTTAGTTATGATCGAAACTTGTAAATATTTGCTATCACTCATTTGTGTTTTTATATGCAATGCATATACTAGTGATGCGGGATGATGGTGATCTGAAGTCACTGATGTAAGATAAAGTTACCATATGTCAATAAAAATTAGATTCCACGTTTTTGTAATTACATCCGATCATGGATTATCCTTGACCCGAATAAAATCATGCTGGGTTGCAATATGTGCTATGTTATTAGTTTAAAAGTGTAAGCCCCACAGCACAATCTTTGACAAACGTAAATACGACAACGACTAACACAAAAGCCAACTCAAATATGCAGTGTGTAGACGTATCCAGATAAATTGACAGCCAATATTAGGATTATACCATCTTGACTTTTGACTAAGTAACTATAATGACTTGTATCAGCTGTCAGTTGCAAATATCGTTACCGGAAAGTATCAACTCACGTCAAACATCAGTAAATCAAAGTTGATATTTTGTCTTTAATGACTGCTCGATGCCCTGCTGGCGTCATCCCAGAGTGTCATGTGTTGTCTTCAGTCACTTGGCTGTTTGTGTTGGGCACAGAATTAGGGTAACAGCGATTTGTGGTGGTAAAAGGCGCTGTAATTGACTTTTGTGTTTGGCAAAAGTCCAAAATGTAAGAATGACAAAAACCATCAAAATGTAAGGATTACTAAATGCTAGGGCTAAAGTATTCATCTGCCATAACACAGCACAGTGAAATTGAATAGTCACGTGAACATGTATAGTCACGTGAACATTCATTGTAATCAATAAACAATTTTGGACAAAACTGCTGGATGTTAGGCTCTTTCGGAGGTTGTGGATTTAGTGATAAATAGGTTGTAAATAAATTGTATTCACTCAACCATTATCCGCTGACCAATCAGTAATTGAAAATGTCTTGCTACAGGTCACTTTGTACTGAACATTGCTGAGGATTATGATCCTATGGTATAGGTTCATCGCTGTAATTTCTGGGTTTGTCATCATCAAGAATTGCTTAGCGTTGTCATTGTATGATAGGCACGTTTCCTGTATTTGTCGGTGGGGTCAAACTGTTTTAGTGTGTTTGATATTGATCAATTATGGCTGTGTGTTTTAGTCCAGGTGTTCTCAACTAACGATTTAACGTCATTTGATATAAAGATGGAGAAACGTATGTGACATAAAATCTACATCGTTGATATCTTTTTGATAAATAGTCCGTCAATGAACGGGTGACGGTTGGTTATTTCTGTTAATTTTGTTTACAAGCCAGTTTATCAGCCAGTTTATCTTCGGGATACAAATAACTGACATAGCTTGTGGAGTCGCAAACCACTGTAAGATCGGACACATGCATGAGTTATTTAATAATAATATGAAAGTATCAACAGTAGGAAATATGTAAATAATTATAGAGCAATTGTAACATTCTCTTCAAGTAACTAAACACTGACAATACATCAGAAATTTGTGTTGCGGGAAAATATGACTTTGAACGCAACATATATGTATTTGTCAAGGAGACCCTGAACCAAAATAGGATTTGTTGCGATGGGAGCCGTTGCATGATATTCAATTGTCAAGTAATACTGTTAATTTACATAGTTGTTTCGCAATAATATTAAATTGACTGAGATTTCTTTAGCAGTTATTGTCTTTGAGACACTGTCTGGTTAAAGAAGGCATTACCCGTCCCAAATACGTTTTTGGTTAATTAAATATTTCGCGATTCGTATTTTTTTTTGTCTTGAGCAACGTAGTATTAATATGAGTTTATTATGAGGACAGTACGTCGTCGCTCGTAATAGGCAGTACGCCGTCGCTCGTAATAGACAGTACGCCGTCGCATCGACCCCCGCTGCGCGTCGTCTTCGTGCATACTTTTCGGTATCTTCGTAGTAACCCTATTATCATACATCTTTTCCTTCCAAGGATACATCATGGGAATGTATAATAATTTGTATTATTTAAAAAAAACACAAGGCTTTTTCCCAGCAATGATAAATATTTTCACATGTGTTTCATACTACGCCGTATACTAGGTCTGAAGCTGTATTGTGAAGCACGGTACCGAGATCGCGTCAGATCCAGCGACAACCGCATTTTAGTAGTGGCAGTACAATAACGGTCGTTGGCACTGGATAGTTCTTGGAGTTCTTCAGTAAATTTTGCTATGAAAAACTCAATAAGAATTTTCGTTATAAAGACAGGTTTCAATCACTTTTCTTCAAGTTGTATGAGGCACTTTAGTGATTGCTTTTGTGACATCGCATTGATAATGTATAGTTGGAAGACAAATATGTTTAATTGTGTAGTCTTTTGTTATCAAAATATAATGAAAACTCCCGTTAAATTAAACTTCCGTGATGAGATGTAGATTAAACGACATCGACAATTTGGTCGGCTTTCAGCCACGTTAATGTCACATATGCGCTTTGCCACTAGAGGGCGCGATTTACACTTAAGGTGACTCGGCGACGATTTCACTATGGAAAGCCGTAGGAGACCCCCGATAAATATTTTTATTCAATTGAAAGGACACATATAAGGCAAAACTAACGGCAGTCACCATTTGTCGAGAAAACTTCGTTTTTTTCAACATCCGATAAAAATTAATTTGTTCCCGGTAGCAGAAAATAAAAGCCGGAATTTCTTTTTCGGAGAAAGATCCATCGCCGAGAATATTATTTCACTAATGTGATTGTGACGAGATTTTATTTTTGTATGCCGAGATTTTACTATTCCGTATCGGCCGAGCCGAGTTTATTTTCAAACAAATTCCGAGCTGGTTTTCTTGACCGTATATAAACGTATTCATTCTGACCAATTGCCGAGATTTTATTTTTCAGCCATGCCGAAAAAAATATGCTAGTACGCTGTTGACGGCGCACGCGCAGTCACACTGATCATAAGCCGAGAAGTTTTTTTTTAGTCGTGCCGAGAAATTTTATTTTGCCGAGATTTTTTCCCTAACGCATGCGCAATACAGCTGCGCGGGAGAACGCATGCATCGTATTTATTATAGCGCGCGAGATCT